GCATGACCTCCTGTTTCCCCTCAGGCGTGTCTTTACCAGCATGTTCTCTGAAGGACCAGCCTGATGGCTCGTAGCCTTCTTGGGGTGCAGACATCTGGGAATCACACAAAAGCTGTGCCTCTCTTCCATCTGCCCAAGCACACACGCGTCTGGGTCCGCAGCCCCTCCCCAAGTCTCCCCAGGCACTGCCTGGTTCGGCCCCTGCTGCTATCCTCAGTCAGGCTCGTGGTTTATGGGCTTATCCAGCTCCACTTGTCCCACTCATTCTCGTAACTCCACTGCCTAAATCCCAGCTTGATCTGGGAAAGGACATGAAGGGAAGGAAGCCATCGGGCCCCTAGTGGGGAGGAGGTCAGGGGCTTCAGGAATCTTGTCCCTTCTTCCCTGATCCTTGGCCCAGAATGTCTCAGCCCAAATGGTGGGTATTTCTTGAGCATTTATTTTGTGCAGACACTTTGGAGGGAGAAGTCCAAGCTGTAGTTCCACCGCTGTGGTCAGGTTAAAGCACGTTGACAAATGAGAGATGGAGATCAGGGAATGGCGACGTTTAATTGAAGGACAGGGTGTGATTTGCTGCCTCGTGTGGGCGTTGTCCCGCCATCCCCTGAAGGGTGCTTTACAAACAGCAGGTGTTCACCCAGTCATTTCTGGGGAGATTCTCACCCACTCCATGGGACTGGCTGCGTTACAGGCAGGCCAAGGCCAGCCCAGGAGGCATCAGCAGGGTCACTGACAGGAGACAGGCCCCATCACCCCAGAGAGACCCTGTAGAGGTCGCCTTGTAGTCACGGGGAAGCCCACGGTCGCCATTGTCTGTGCAGGCCACTGCCCCGCACGGACCCCTGAGCCCTGAGTGCCGGCTCCCCAGAAAGCATCTGGGCAGGCGCAGGCCTGGAGCAGTTGGGATGGTGGCTGGGCTCACCTTGAGCCTGAATCCTCCTGTCCAACCCCCACAAAAGCTCCCCAGGGGCGTGTTCAGCCCCGGAGACCTGCCACCCCAGGCCTCCCCATCTCAGACAGTGACTGGACCCTCCCTGACCAGGCCTGTTGGCAGTGCTAGGGCTTAAAGAAGAATCTAGGGACTCCCTGGATACCCTCGCCCCACCCATGCACGTAGAACCACAGCCAGGGCTTCCACAGAAATGGCCGCCCTGCTGCTCCTCCATCCCCATCACACTCTCTTCACACCAGAGATGCCATCATCCCCTGCTGTCACCTTCCGGCACCTTCTGCCACTCCAGTTCCTTAGAAGCCCCCGTTAGTAGCCTCCTAGAGACCTGGGCAGATGCTTCTCCCCACTTCCTAGTTAACTCCTGTACTTCCTAGTCAGCGCCCTCTGGGAAGCCTTTACTGGCCTCTCACTGTCCAGCCCTAGCCCCCACCGTAGTACCTGGATTGCTGTCGGCACCCGAGAAGCCATGTGCAGTGAATGGTCATGGGGTCCTGTCCCAGAGCAGCTCCCAGCCCACAGAGGAGAGAGGCATGTCTGTGAATGAGCTGGAAGAACATTCTGGCACAAAGGGGCCAGGCACGGTGGCTCACGCCTCTAATCCCAGCCCTCTGGGAGGCTCAGGCGGGCAGATCACTTGAGGTCAGGGGTTCAGGCCAGCCTGACCAACATGGTGAAATCCCGTTTCTACTAAAAATACCAAAATTAGTCGGGTGTGGTCGCAGGTGCCTGTAATCCCAGCTACAAGGGAGGCTGAGGCAGGAGAATCACTTAAACCAGGAGGCAGAGGCCACAGTGAGTGAGACTGTGCCCTTGCAATCCAGCCTGGGCAACAGAGTGAGACTCAGTCTCCAAAAAAAACCCCAAAACATTCTGACACAAAGGAAAGAGGCTCTGATGTTGAGAGGGCCCTATCCGTCCTTCCTAGTCAGCAGTGTTCGGGAATGGTGTCCATGTTGAGAAGCAGGCATGAGACTTGCTGACCCCAGCCCAGGTCCCTGGTGGGGCTACTTCCAGGGCTCACAGACCCAGACCCAGCAGGCCTGGCCTGACCCCTCGCCCCCCTTCCTCTGCAGGCCCCAGGGGAAGTCCTATCTGTACTTCACACAGTTCAAGGCAGAGGTGCGAGGCGCCGAAATCGAGTACGCCATGGCCTATGTGAGTATCTTGGGGTGGGGCAGGCTCTGAGTGTGGTTTCTGTGCACTGGGGCAGCTGTGAGATGTCCCGCCACGAGAGGGCTCCGTGGGGACAGGGAGGAGACGGGACAGCGAATCCTGCAGAGGTGGGGTATGTAATTTGGAGGAACCTGGCACACAGACGCCCCCAGACCAGGAGGCGCTGGGACACGGGGAGGTTGGTAACCTGCTGCTGCCGGCTTCTCTTGTATATGCCAGAAAAGACTTCTCCAGGCCAGGTGCGGTGGCTCAACGCCAGTAATCCCAGCACTTTGGGAGGCTGAGGCAGGAGGATTGCTTGAGGCCAGGAATTTGATACCAGCCTAGGCAACATAGCAAGACCCTATACCTACCAAAAGTTAAAAAAATAGCCAGATGTGTTACTGTGCACCAGTAGTCCCAGCTACTCAGGAGGCCAAGGCAGGAGGATCACTTGAGTCCAGGACTTTGAGGCTGCAGTGAGCTATGATTGCACTGCTGCATTCCAGCCTGGACGGTAGAGTGAGGCCCTGGCTCGAAAACAAAAAAGTCTCCTCTCCCTCTTTAGTAAAAGCACAAAGCTTTAGTCTGTGCTGCTTTGGAAAGCAAACTGAATCGTTCTAATGATGAGCGTTGAAATGGCCCTGGTGAAGTTTCCACTCGTTCTCTTTCAGTCTAAAGCCGCATTTGAAAGGGAAAGCGATGTCCCCCTGAAAACGGAGGAATTTGAAGTGACCAAAACAGCAGGTACGGAAAGATGGGGATGGGGTAGAGGTGACGACACCCCCATCCAAGGGCGGGCAATCGGGGCGGTTTGGAGAGGGGGGTCGGCCATAGGGGTCCCTGGAGACTGTAGACCAGGCATCCACAAACTGGTTCTGTAAAGGCCACCTCATCAATATCTTCAGCTTTGTGGCACTGTAGGTTCTGTCTGAGCTGCGCCATTGTGGCACAAAGCTGATGCAGACAGTATGTCTGTGAACGGGTATGGCTGTGTGCCACTAGAACTTTATCTTAGCTGGACGCGGTGGCTCATGCCTGTTATCCCAGCTGCTCAGGAGGCTAAGGTGGGGGATCATTTGAGCCCAGGAGGTCAAGACCAGCTTGGGCAACATAGCTAGCAAGACCCTGTCTCTACAAAAATTTTTTAAAAATTAGGCTGGGCGTGGTGGCTCACGCCTGTCATCCCAGCACTCTGGGAGACGGAGGTGGGCAGATCACTTGAGGTCAGGAGTTTGAGGAGGATCACTTGAGCCCAGGAGGTTGAGGCTGCATTGAGCTATGTTCACACCACTGGACTCCAGCCTGGGCATCAGAGTAAGACTCTGTCTCAAAAACAGTAAACAAGGCTGGGCGTGGTGGCTAACACCTATAATCCCAGCACTTTGGGAGGCCAGGAGTTCCAGACCAGCCTAGCCAACGTGGTGACACCCCGTCTCTGCTAAAAATACCAAAATTAGCCGGGTATGTTGGCACATGCTTGTAATCCCAGCTAGTCAGAAGGTGGAGACAGGAGAATCGCTTGAACTCAGGAGCCGGAGGTTGCAGTGAGTCGAGACCATACCACTGCACTCCAGCCTGGGCAACAGAGGAAGACTCTCATCTCAAAAAAATAAATAAAATAAAATAAATAAATGAAATAAAGTAGAAGCCATCAGGGCTTTGAAGTTGGGACCGTGGCATGCCGAGGGGAAGCTGCAGGGGTCACTGGGAAACATCAGGGTCCTCCTTTGGTTGCCTGAGCAGCACCAGTGTCCTCAAGCCATGTTCAGCTGCATGGGGCCAGTGCTAAGCAGAAAGAGGAATCGGAGGCACCGAGCTGGGGCAAGGGTGGGAGGCGAGGGAGTGGACAGAGCAGGTAGGGCCAGGAGACTTGGGTGTAGCAGTGGAAGCCAGAGTTCTGACCCTGCTGGAGAAGTGTCATGTGGGCCTCAGACAGGTTCACCCACTGAGCAGGAGGTCTTGCAGCCTGACCCACCCTGCATCCTGTTCAGGCCGGGATCATCTCCTTCCTGGGCTGCTTCTGGCCCCTTTCTGCATCTCTTCTCAACAACATGGCACAAATGACCAGGGTTCTTCCCACCTCAGGTCTTTCTGTGGCTTCCTGCTGCCTGCCACCTCTGTTAGCCCCACCGACCTCACCCTCCACACCACCATTTTCCCGTCTATCACCTGTAAGACTTTCAGAGCCTGGGGCCTTTTCACATGGGAGTCTGCTTTGGAGACTGCTCCCCTTCCCTGCTCAGCCCCCACTGTGGACCCCACCCCAAATCCTCAGGACTTCTGAGAATTTTCAACGTTCAGGGCGCAACCATGTGTTTCTTTCTTGTAGTGGCTCACAGGCCCGGGGCTTTCAAGGCCGAGCTGTCCAAGCTGGTGATTGTGGCCAAGGCATCACGCACTGAGCTGTGACCAGCAGCCCTGTTGCGGGCGGCACCTTCTCATCTCTGGTGAAGCTGAAGGGGCCTGTGGCCCTGAAAAGGCCAGCACATCACTGGTTTTCTAGGAGGGACTCTTAAGTTTTCTGCCTGGGCTGACGTTGCCTTGTCCGGAGGGACTTGCAGGGTGGCTGAAGCCCTGGGGCAGAGAACAGAGGCCCCGGGGCCCTTCTGGCTCCCAACAGCTTCCCAGTCCCCGCTTCCTGCTGAGCTCTTCTGGACTCAGGATCGCAGATCCGGGGCACAAAGAGGGTGGGGAACACAGGGGCCACACTGGGGAAAGCAGCCATGCTCCCCCCAACCCTCAGAACTGCTTTCCTATGTTTACCCAGGGGACGGACCTCCTTTCAGATGAACTGGGAAGAGATTAAATGTTTTTTCATATTTAAATAAATAAGAACGTTAAAAAGCAACCCCACAGCCTGGGCCCTCCCGGCTGGCCATTGTGCGTCGGGGGCTCAGACGCGGCTGACACTGCCCCATCGAGGGCAGGTGGGTGGTGTCTCTGGGTGGGACTTCTCTGCAGGCATCAAAGCACTGGATCCCAAGGTGGCTGTATGTGAACTTGCCTCCTTCCCCCCTTGGCACTCGCTGTCCCTGGGCCTCCTACATGCTGCACACTCAGGTTCCTGTGCCTGCCAGAGGCCCCAGCCCCGGAGGATGTTGCAAGGCCGACCTGCTCTCTGCAGCCTGTGGGCCTTGTTTTCCCTTAGTGTGGTTTTTTGTGTGTTTTTTTTTTAGACAGAGTTTCCATCTTGTCACCCAGGCTGGAGTGCAATGGCACCATCTCGGCTCACTGCAATGTCTGCCTCCCAGGTTCAAGTGATTCTCCTGCCTCAGCCTCCTGAAGTACCTGGGATTACAGGCACCTGCCACCACGCTCAGCTCATTTTTTTGTATTTTTAGTTGAGACGGG